ACCCAACTTGCTTGGCTCAGAACGCAATATCGCGAAAATAAAATGCCAAAAGTCTAGAATTTGTTTCCCTAAACTATTAATAGATATACAATACCCTATCCTAGACCTAGACCCGACTGACTGGACCGACCGGTACCGTTCCAGTTTCGGCCTCTCAGTCTCTCCCTACCCGGCTATAGGCTATAGGACCGTCTATCGGTATAGGCCCTTCGGGCCTGTACGTCCTAGGGGTAGCCCGAGTTTGCTATATGCAGTGAGGGTAGCTGTAGGAAATTCGAAATAGTGTTGGGCCTATATTTCCCATATTTGCAGATATGTCCCTCACGAATTTTCCTTACACGTAGGTCTCGCGGTTAACCCTCAGCCAAACAAAATTATGACTTTAACCTACTGTTGTTACTGTACAGCCTCGCAATCAGTCTCGACAGTCAAAATCAGCAAGTCATTGCAACTTACTGTCCATTATCTGTGTGCAAAATGGCTTTGGATATTTGTCAGAAATACCGTGGAAAATTGACTGTCCAGTTTTTTATAGCTCCCAGCCTGCACAAGTACTTTTGTGGACGGTCCTCGTAGGAACCCACGGACCCTCTGCTGTTTTGGACAACCAGGCTGGAGTACGGGCGTAAAAAATGTTATCGAGGTTGTCTTGTAGTGCTGCACCCGTGTCTCTTAGGAAGCTCACGAATTCGGGTGTTGTATAGTGTACAGCAAGCGGAGCGATGCCACGTTTCCACGATTTATGTACATTCCCGTAGCTGTCCACGAACTATCCATAATTTTGTACAGTGGACAGTAGTGGAGCGAGACCTTATACAACACTAGAATTCGTGAGTTCCCTACGAGACACGGGTGGGGCACTCCAAGACAGCCTCGATAGCATTTTGTACCCCTATACCCCAGGCTGGTTGTCCAAAACACCAGAGGGTCCGTGGGTTCCTTTTTTTTTTTTTTTTTTTAATGGGAACAAGGCTCCAATCTATTCGTGGGGAGCAGCACGTGCTGGGAACCGGGCCCCGTGTCCCATATGGAAAATTACATCGAATTGTGAAAATTTGAGATACCGGGGTCATTACCCGGCTTTGGCTAAGAAAAAAATTGAGCTACTTAGGAAAAAACGACAAACTTCAGAATTGGACAAGATTCGGAAACCGACTTAGGAGCCCCCCATCAATCCTCTTCACCTCTCTCCGGCAAGACTTATTGCAACAGAGCCACCATCTCCGTTGCTGTTGTACCCTATTTCCATCCTACCAGCTAACCCCCGTACTAGTAGGATGCATGATATCCCACCATCTACTTCTCCCACTCACCTAAAAGACTCAAACCCCCAATCCATCCCCTGTACCCCACTCCGGCAAGACTTACTGCAGCAAAGCCACCATCTCCGCTGCTGCTGTACCCTATTCATGTCCTGTCAGCTAGCCCTCTTGCTAGTAGGATGCGTAATATCCCACCTTCTCCTTCTCCCACTCGCCGCATACTATCTCTTTAGAAAACGTCTGAGCAATACCGAAAACACAGAAACAGACCTCCTAGGTCCTACAAATGTTAAAAAACCCTTGAAATCCCTAACAAACCCTTCCAAAGCACTCCAACACTGTCTTACTCCCTGCCGAGCTCTTCCAGGTCTCACACCCCCACATCTTGTTGGGTTACAGGGCAACACAACTCACCCCAGCTCCGACCAGCGTCGTCCCAACAACAACCCTTAGTTGTCCCGTGGAATGCCCACCCCAAAGCATCTCCACATCTCTCTATCAGGCCTCACCCTCCTGCGTCAGCAGATCACAGGGCAACACCCGAGCACCAGCCAGCGTCGTTCTGGCATCGAACAGCCATAGGTCACTGAGTCTAATAGCATCGAAACCACCAAAGAAGAATTGCTAGGAGCTAGGGTCCAAAAACATTCTTAAGACCACCAATCAACCATCCACGTATGGTCAACCCTGAGATCTATTTTTTGAGACATAATTTTTTTTTTTTTTTAAATGAGTACAGTCAGCCCTCCTCCTATTTTCTTTCACCCCCTACTCTTTTTCATCTCCCGACGAGCCGACCTCCTCCACCACATAGTTCGGGAAAGAAGAATAATAGACCAACGACTTCACCAAAAACCCATAGCGATGAAAAACAAACTTCAATTATTCATCTTCCTACGACAAGCCGACCTCCTCCACCACACTATGAAACACCCGCGGAAGCGTCCACGGGCCCGATCTTGGATGGTGGCCACATATGTGGCCGCGAACGCGGCCGACCTAGTCCGCGCCGCGGACCCGATTTTACGAGATTTTTCCTAAATTAAATAATAGGAAAAAAAAAATGGGGTTGTAGGGAATTTTAATCCCTACAACCCCATATTTATTTTCTTAGAAACAAATACTTTTTTGGAATTATAAAAAAT